CCGGGGAGAGAAACAGAACATCATCTTTGATAGAGTTCTTGGAGCTGGCTGGTGTCTTTCGACCTCACCTCTCCTCGGGGGTCTTGTGAAAATTATTCTGCTGAGCCAGTGCTCTGTGAAGGTTCATTGATTCTTGGACTTTTATTTTTTAATTTGCCCTGTGTAAGCACCACAAGAGCACTTACTTATGACTGCGTAATTTATATCGAACCGTACGGCTCTTTCAATACGTTCCTTCAGACCTCTTTCTGGTAGACACTCACTGCTCAGCGCTTGGTTGCTTAACTGACAAGTTGCAGAGTCTCTGGAATGATAGTTCACTCCATGGAGGGAACCCGTCAGAAGCAGAAATGGCCCAGAACAAAAGCCAACCCAGGACCTTCAGCACAATAAGTCATTTCTTTTTTTTTTCTTTTTTTTTTTTAATTAGTGAGACATCATGAGGTACAGTTGTAGACTTACAAATTTTTGTGCTTGGATTTCAATTATACAATGATCAAATACCCATCCCTCCACCAGTGCCCATTTCCCACCACCACGGATCCCAGTATCCCTCCCACCCCCCATTCCCCCCATTCCCACCCTGCCTCTGTGGCAGGGCATTCCCTTTTGTTCTCTCTCTCTTATTGGGTGTTGTGGTTTGCAAAAGAGGCAATGGGTGACAATCATGTTTGGTCTATAGTCTACTTTCAGCATGCTTCTCCCATCCTGGGAGGATAATCCCAACACCCTCTATTTGGTGTTCCCTTCTCTATCTAAGCTCCCTTTTCCCCTAGCATGTGTGGCTGGCCTCCAAGCCATGGAGTAAAATTCGTGGTACTAATCTCGGCCATTCTCGGGTGTTAGTCTCCTATTTTGTTACTTTATGTTCCCCAGATGAATGCAATCTTTCTATGTCTATCCCTTTCTTTCTGAGTCATTTCGCTTAACATGATACTTTCCATGTAGTATCACTTGTATGTAAATTTCATGACTTCGTCTTCAATGAGTCATTTCTGAGGCTAGATTCCCTAGCTCTGCCTGGAGGGCCCCAGGATTCTGGAATATTCTTCATTTCTCTCTCCAGGGCCCTGCATCAGTGCGTCTGTGGTCCGTGTAGGCTGTGGTCAGTCACCCAGCAGGAGGTAGACCTGGGAGCTGACAGTGCCAAGTGATAACTGTCATGAAGACCCATAGCTCCGGCAGAACCCACAGGGGCACATGATGGCAGCCGTCAAGGGAAGTCCAAAAGAATTTCCCAGAGCTGGCTTGCTAACTAATTCTTGTTTGTGTGTCTGTCTCTTTGGGCCAAACAGTGCTCAGGGTGCCCTCTTGACTCTCTATGTGCTCAGGAGTCACTTCTGGGGAGTTCGGGGGAAACTCTATATGGTGCTGGGATTAAATGGGTTGGGGGGGGCTGAGTGATAATACAGTGGGTAGGGCATTTGCCTTGCACGCAGCTGACCTGGGTTTGATCCCAAATACCTCATATGGTCACCCGAGCACTGTCAGGAGTAATTCCTGAATGCAGAGCCAGAAGTAACCCCTGAGCATCACAAGGTGTGACCTTAAAAAGCAAATAAATAAATAAGTAAAACAAAATAAATGGACTTGGTAGCAAGCAAGGCAAACATTACCATACCCCCCCCCCCACATACACACACATATATATGTCCAAAGATTTAAATGCCTCAGCTCCGTACTGAGCAAACAGCTGCCAAACCTCCCGGAGTAGAGAAAGTGGCCAAGGGCAGAGCCAAAATATTGTGTGTGGCTTGATCTAAGTAGCTGAGCAATGAACACCAGTGGCCAGCCTGTCCTGTACTGGACTGTATTGATTTTTATCTCCATGTCTCCCTCTGGGCCTGGGAGCAAGAGGGCTGGGGAGCGGCACCCACAGGTGCAAAACCCACACAGAATAGAAGACACTGTGAAGAGAACTGAGAGCCAACACCGCAGACCCCCTCCTGGGCCAGTTGAACCAAGAAACACTCACAGATTCCAGGGACTCTCGATGGAAACTGGGACGGCTGCCAGACCCGGGCATAGGGGCGGAGTGTGCAAAGAACACCTTGTAGATACCAGACTCATGGGCCTGCTTTAGTCTGGGGATGTGCTTGTTGTTTAGTCCATCAAGGAGTGAAGCTGACCAGAAAGCCAAAAATGAAGGAGGGACTCCCCACAACTTGTCAGCTTCAGGTCACTACTGAAAGACAGGATTGAGGGGGTGGGGGGAGATGGGGTTCAAAACTGCCAGACTTGGAAGCGGGCTGGTTCTCCAAGCCCGCATGTTTCCCTGCACCCCGCCCCCCTGCAGCTGTGCTCATTCACACAGCGCTTGTGGTTAGGCGCCCACTTTTTGAGGGGGAGGTCTGATGGGGGGGGGTCGCTGATTCTCTAAGAACCCGATGAGTTTCTTTGAGAGAGAAGTAGCTGTCCAATCTAACTCAGCTGTCCTCAATCTGAGTTGCTTTCCTCCCTCCGAACCCTCACTTCAAAGCGAGGAACATAATGTACAATTTTTTAATGGCTCTAGACCCAGGCACTCAGTCTCTCTGCTCTGTGCCTTCCCTCAGTGTAAACACCTCATCAAGATTGCCTTGGCTTCAACAATAGCAGCCCAAAAGCAATTGGAGAACCCCGAGCCTTTGAAGTCCTCCGGCAGAGGCCGGTTTTCTAGTCCGGGATAATGACAAGCCATGATTGCTGCCTTTGTTGTATCTTTTCAGTAGAGAAGCAATTATAGGCCCCAATTTAACAGAATAGGCATTACGCAGCTTATGATGCTCAAAATGCAATTTCATTTGATCATTTTCTCGATTTGATTGGTATTAATAGAATGGCTCGCCGGAAAAAAATAAATAAATAAATAAAGAGCTGGCAGAGGTTGTGTCCCATTCCACTTTCAAAGAGATAATGTAGAAGTATGCTTTACTGGCCCGAAACCCGCCCGGGATCCAGGCACGCCTCACCGAAACGGCCTCCTGGAAGAAGCACAGTTCCTCCCGCGGCCTCTGGGAAGGAAGGAAGCGTGGGTATGAGGGGCTTCTTACCGTAAAGCTGTCAGCACGGCTACCTCGGGGGCCTCTCAGCGCTCTTCAGTCCTGGCCCTCAGTGAAAAACTGAAAACGGGACAGGAAATACTCTTCTGAGAGCAGGGGACCAGCATCCCGGCAGCAGCCCTCAGACTAAGCCCAGCGTCCTTTATCTCCTGGCCCGCTAACAGCTGGACCATGGCCCTCTGCTTAAGTAGCCTGTTAAGATGTTTATTAGGGGCTGGAGAGATGGTTCAGCAGGTAGGGCCCTTGCCTTGCTTGCAACGACTCGAGTTTGATCTCTAGCATCCCATCCCTTCCCCTGAGTACCACAGAGCCAGGAGTAACCCCTGAGTGCTGCCAGGTGTGGGGGCCAAAAACAAAAACTTTAAAAAATAAAGTTTTTAGCTCTCTTGACCTTTATATGCTCTCAGACCACGCTTGAATCTCCCTTTGCTAAGCCGTCTTTCTTTTTAATTGTGTGACTAATAAGGGCTGCAGCCGCTGTGATGTGCTCTAAACCGTAAGACCCAGTATTCCTACAGTCACCAGTCGGGGGGTGCCCCCGCCTATGCCCAGGGCCCTGCAGTGCCAGGGATCAAATGCCAGGCTCCTGCTCCCCAGCTAACTGCCGGGTGTTTCTTGGGTCCATGCTGAGAGGGGACACAAGTGAGTGACAGTTGACGTGAGCTGTCACTGTGAGGACTCTGCACTGTGCACCAGCACATCACCACCAGCAAGTTGATGACCACAGACCACTCGTGGCTCCTGGAATTGCCATGAAAACTTGGGTATGATGGAGTCTGGTTTTGATTCCCCCCTGCGTTCAGATCCACCCCAATTCCCTTCATGGCCCCACACTGCCCGGAACTTCTCTGAAGACAGCTGGTGGAATGCAGGGACACAGGGAGGACCCAGGGCGCCTTCCAAAGAGATGGAGCATCCACCTTGGGCCTGGAGAGCCACGCCATGGAACATGGAGTGAGAGGAGGACAGATCCTGGTGGGTGGAGGTGATCAGGATCCGTCCCTGGCTCTGTGTTCAGGGGTGATGCCTGGTGGTGCTGGGGACTGGGGGTGGAAAAACCATATATGGTGCTGGACCTAACTGTGGTTGTCCATCTGCAAGCCCATCTCTCTGGTCTAAGGTCCTGCTCTGCTCAGGCAGCACTGCACAGGCCTCAAGGGGGAAGGACTGGTACCTTGCTGTTCTTGCAGGTGACGAGCTCTAACATTTTACCCCGAGAAAGAGTCCCCCCCACCACACACACACCTTAGATCCCTTCCTCTTCCTTCTACCATACACCTTAGAACAGGTGGCCAAACACCTCTAAGCAGGGTCTGGGAGGCTGCCAGGGCTTTGATTGTTTTGCTCGGTTATGCAGCCCTGTAGCAAAAGCGTCCGGGGCCAACATCACCAGATTCCAGGGACGCCCCGACCATCGGGGCTCCCAGTCCCAGATGCATTTCCTAGATATGAATCTGTTTAGCAAACTTTTCAAAAGGCAGGCTCTGAAGTCCTTAGCTAGAAGCTCGGGGCTTCTCGCTCTCCCCTTCGTTCCCAGGTCACACCTGAGACTGCTTTTGGGATGATGCATTGATACAGGCTCTACAGAGCACTGGGGGACCCTTAAATACATGAAACCACGTTCCTGTTGACATCATCCTCTAGGAGTTCATTTCTTCACTGGCACGGTTTCCTCAAACCCTAGTTCTGGCATTGCTTAAGTTAACCGTTGGAAAGTGGAACCCCTGGAGGTGTCCTTGTGGTTTAAAGAAACTGGCATGGGGGGTGGTCATCTCAAAAGTGCCAGTTCTCATGTTCTTACTGTTCTCCTTGGGAACAATCCAAGTCCCTAAGCACTAAGATGAAGCCTTAATGAACTGTGGTCCTGCAAGCCCCTCGTTCGAGAGCAGAGCTGAGCCAGCCGGCTCCAGAGCCAAGTCTAAGCCAGTTAACATGCTGATCTGTGCTTTGTCCTCTCAGATCTTCCACCCCGTCAGAGCCACTGGCCAGACGTCCACTCAGAATGCCAGAGAGACTGAGAACGCTGCCCTCCAACCCGAAGATAAGTGGCACCAAAGGGCCCAGCAGCTAAAGGTCACCTGCTAGACTGAATGTTGGCTGTGTCTCGAGGGTCACTGCTGAGTAGGAGATGCCTGTGGGGTCCAGGGGGTCTCCCTGGCTCAGTCACTCCTCCCAGTGGATAAGACAGGCTGAGACAGGCCACCGCTGGCTTGGCCCACCCTACATCCCCCCAGAAGGTGCTATTGGAGGACAGTTGTCCCTTCTCTCTCTTCCTCTCTCTCTCCCTCTCTCTCTCTCTCTCACACACACACACACATACACACAGAGAGACAGACACACACATATACACATACATACATACACAGACACACACATATATACATACACACACAGACACACAGAGAGATATACACACAGAGACACATACACACACAGAGATATACACACAGACACACACACATATACAGACACACAGAGAGATACACACAGACACACACACACAGAGACAAAAGCCCACCCACAGGGAAGACACGGAGGAAAGGGCCAGGGACAGAAGCAAAGTCCCCAGATGCTGTTCCGTGGGCCTCTGCATCTGCTTTCGTTTGGAGTTGGCAGACAAAAGACACCTTGTCAGGATATTTAGGGTGTTAAAAGCCAGTGAACCCCAATCAGGGTATGTAGGACTCCTCGGTGCTATGTCTTCTTTCCCTCCATGTTTGAAATCACTTTTTGAAGTTTAAATAAAAAGTTAAAAGGGCCCCCAGGAGTGAGCATCTGAGAGGCCACGGGCGGCCTGAGCTGAGGTGTTTGAGGGTGTTTGAGCCTCTGCAGAGGCTGTGGAGGTGCCAATGAGAGACGGGAGGGAAGTGGAGCACCTGCCGCTGAAAAGGGAGCAGAGGCTGAGTGAGGCCCTTCCTTTTCTGCTGACAGGGGCCGGTGCTCCCAGGTAGAGAGGACAAGAGGCCAGAAATGGGGCCGCTCAGAGCACATATGTCAGCAACAGGCGCCCAGAGGTGAGCTCATCCCTCAGCAGGGAGAGTCAGGCAGCATCATTTTTCTGAGCGCCTTTTGCCTCCCTTCGGCCTTTCCACCATATCCACACTTTCCTTCACTCAACCTCTGAGCCCCAGGTCTCACCATCCCAAGTCGTCAAAATGTGTGGCCTCGCAAGTGGCTCTCAGTTTCCCAAACCCCATGGCCACTGTGTGCCCAGTGCAGGACACAGGAGTCAATGAGGGTCTGACCCCGGCTGGCCAGTGGGAGGGAGTGCCCCACTTGGGTCAAGTGAACACCAGGGTCCAGAGAGATAGTACAGCGGGAAAGGAGCGGATCGGGGTTCTATCCACAGCACCATACATGATCCCCTGAGCACAAGCAGGGTGAAGTCCTAGGAAACTCCTGGTGTGGCCCAAAGAGAGAGACAAAGATAGAGACAGAACAGAGTTCCCTGGTAAGGACTTCATGAGAATGGTCTGAGGTATTATCCTTCTTGCTTCTTGCCACTCTGCCCTAACATCAGACCCCCAGACAGGGAAGAGAAGAGAGAGGAGGAAAGATTCCGAGGGTCTTGGACTCCAGGCCCTGAAGTTGCATCCTGAGCCATCTTATGACCTTTCCAACTAGCGACTGGTTTGGTTTCGCCACCAACACAAGCCCACAGATCTCTGCTGCTTGTATTCATCAAAACCCAGATTCTGCCCTTCCTGACCCCCCCTCACCACACACACACACACACACACACACACACACACACACACACACACACTCACACAAGACACTGTCAGGAGGCACATTCAACATTTTCTTGAGCTCCTCAGATAGGATTTATAGTCTGACCTTAAAGTACTTTCGTTTTGGTTTGGGGTCACACCCAGGGATGCTCAGGGCCTACTTCTGACTCTGCACTCAGGGATTAGCCCTGGTGGTGCTTGGGGGGCCATATGGGATGTAGAGGATAAAACCTGGGTCAGCCGCGTGCAAGGCAAACGCACTACCCACTGTGCTATCACTCTGGCCCCTCAAAGTGTTTGTATTTCATTAACAACAAATGCAACAGAAACTCCCACCAGAGCTGGTCCCAGAGCCCAGCCGGGTCTCCAGTGTGAGCCAGAGAACCGAGACCTTTGTTTCAAAGCAAGTGAACTCTGGGGTCGAGATCAGAGCCCGCCTTGCCCCTTCTGCTCATGTCACAGAAGCAGGGAAGCCAGCAAGGAGAAACAGCCAGAGTCGGCCTTTCACGGGGTAGGGGGGCAACGTGTCTGGGAGGGCATGGTGTGAAGGAACCATTAGTATCTAAGGGCGGGGGGTCTGGCTAGGAAATTAGCGTCCTGCACAGGATGGCCCTGGGTACAGCAAGGCCATTAGGCAGTGATTGTGAGCGCAGGGCGTGAGGCCTGGTTCCCAGTAACAAAAGGACCCCGGAGCGAGCTGGATGAAAGACAGAATTCAGGCACTGGTGGAGATTAAACAGCCGGAGAATAGCTTTGTATCCCAACTTCCGGGGAACTCGGGGTCTCGCCACCTGAAGAGGGACAGTTGAGGCCTCCGTGGTTGGGAAATAGATCATAGGTGAACCGCAGAGCTCAAGGAAGGTGACGGGGATGAAGAGAGAAAATGATAGTGAGCCCAGAACCCGGCAGCTTCCCTTCTGGGATGGGAAGTGCCATCTCAGACCAGTTAGATTTGTGTGAATGGCAGATTTAACACTTGAGACAATTGAAGTTTCAGCCAAGGATGACCCGGTGGCCTTGCTGACAAAGCATCCCACAGAGGGTGCTGCTGTGCACCCAGCGGGGAGACAAGGATGAGAGACAAGGATGAGAAAAACTCTGATTTCAGGTCGGCACCCCAGAAAAACACTGCTGGTGGGGGGGGGCACTTCTCTTTCAGGTGGAAACAGACTGATTGAATATCAGCCAGAAAAGACACTTGCCCCCCACCCCCCCGGCTTTTCCCACAAGTGCCTGTCCACCAACACTGCAGAGGAAGCCATTATCTGTGCCAATGCTTTCTGAGCACTGGTAGCACCAAAGGTCTTCCTCGGGCAGTGAACAAAGAACTTTCCTCAATTGAAAATAGAAAGGCTAGCTTTTCCTCTTTGGTGCCATGCAGGTGAAAATTGAAACTTTAGGACCAGAGCCATAGGATATCGGCTAAGGTGCTGGCCTTGCACACAGCCAACCCAGTTGACCCTCAGCAACCCATAAAGCTCCCCAAACCCTACCACGGACGATCTCTGAATGCAGATCCAGGAGGAGGCCCTGAGCACCTCTGGTTGTGGCCCACAATTTAAATTTCAGAGGAACTCATTAGAAACCCAGCCGATGCCCCCACAGAAAGCTCAAATTCTAAAGTAAATTTACTCTAAATTGGGGCCGGAGAGATAGTACAGCAGGGAAGGCGTTTGCCTTGCACACCCCTTGACATGGGTTTGATCCCTGGCATCCCATAGGGTCCTCCGAGCACTGCCAGGAGTGATTCCTGATCTCAAAGTCAGGACTAACCCCTGAGCATTGCTGGGTGGGACCCAAAAAGAAAAAACAAAACAAAACAAAAAAATGTACTCTAAATTTCGTATTTGAGAAATATGACATTGAATTGTTGTAGGTTACTGTCCTGAGTGTAATGATTTTAATCTCATATAATGTGATCTCCTTAGACATAGATACTGTCTAGTCTCATACAGAAATAGGGCGAGGTCTGCCAAGCAGATCAGGAGAGAGCAGGAAAAGTTGAATGCAAGGCCATAATTTATTCATTCCACAGAGCAAACAAACATGATTTGCTCGAGATATTTTTTTTCCTCAAACCATCCAGGTAACTTGCATTTTTCAATTATCTTTGCGTAGATACAGATCATAGAGGATTTTCAATGTATATTTAGAAAGGGGAAAATGGGTTACGATTATATAACACACAGCCCTCTTACTCTTTTTAGTAAGCATTTGAACATTCTTTCTATAGGCCTCTTCACTAGTCTTTCATAAAGTAATGAGTACGTTATTCCTTGGGAACTACTTCTAAATGACTCAGTGCAGAATAGTCACAGAGAGTATCTATTATGCCAGGGGTACATTCTGTTATTATAAGGCTTTGAAAAGCATAAAGACTGTTCTAAAATTGAAATATTTCCCCCAGATTGATTGCCTGAGTACAGGCTAGGTTAAGGAACAGAAGCAAAATCAGCTTTTATGGATTCACAGTTGCCTTGCATAGCACAGAATCTTAGAGAAGCCTTCGAGTAAAACCTAACTCCTTTCTGCCAGTGAGTGAGGAGACCATTTGCAGCTTCTGACCTGCATGATGAGTAGGATGATGTGTTCGCCTGAACTGTGTTTCACACTCAACTTGCCTTTGGTTGGTGTTGCAAATCAATGATATTCTTGTGAAGATTTTTGAAGAACTTCATCTGACTGAAACATAAATTCACACACTTAGATGCAGATTTGCAGATTTGTTCTTCCTGGATATGCAACTTTTCCCCCCATCTAGTGGCATTTTACAGTATTTTAAGTCAAAGATTTCTACTTAAACCTATTCTGGGGGCTGAAGCAATAGTACGGCGGGAAGTGTGTTTGCCTTGCACTCGGCTGACTTGGGTTCGATTCCCAGCATCCCATATGGTCCCCCAAGGACCACCAGGAGTATTTCCTGAATGCAAAACCAGGAGTAACCCCTGTGCATCGCCAAGTGTGACTCAAAAAAGCAAAAAAAAAAAGTAAAATAAAATCTATTCTGTGGGTAATGAGAGACACACACACACACACACACACACAGAGAGAGAGAGAGAGAGAGAGAGAGAGAGAACAAAAGTGCCTACCATAAAGGCAGGCTGGTGGGAGAGGAGTGGGAGGGAAACTGGGGAAATTGGTGGAGGGAACTGCACACTGGTGAAGGGATGGGTGATGGAACATTGTGTGACTGAAACCCCATCATGAACAACTGTGTATCTCATGATGATTTGATGATTCAAAATTTTTAAAATTTTTTTAAAAAGATCACATGTAGAAACAAATTTTTTTGAAAAAAAAATAAAAATAAAACCTATTCTGTGAGTCCAGAGAAATGGTACAGCAAATAGGGTATTTGCCTTGCATATGACTGGCCTGAGTTTGATCCCCAGTACCCCATGTGGTCCCCTGGGCCTGCCAGGAGTAAGCTCTGAGTGCTCCCAGGTGTGGCCCCCAAACAAACAAAAAGCTTATTCTGAGATATTTTTTCTATAAAATTCATCTGAAATAGCCAATTACTCAGTGACTCACCCTCAAATTGCTAGACCAAACCATCACCCACCTTTTTATTATGCTGCACCAGGGATCAAACCTAGAACCCATCACCCCTGCAGAGCAAACACTCTCCCCCTGGGCCCCAGCCCTGTCCCCTCTTGTCCTCTCTCTCTCCTTTCAACCTCATGGTTGGCTTCAACATCCAGTTTGAAAAATTACTTTAAATTGCAATATTGCAATATTCCCATTTGCTTAACCAAAATTGTCTTTTTTTTTTTTTAGAATTACCAAGAACAGTGGTCTCAGCATGAAAGCACAAAGTCCAACAGTGTACCACGAGGACCATCTTCCGACACCACCGATGGCCAGCAGCCATTCAGAAGGCCTGTCAGGCGCAAGATCCGCAAGCGATATAGACACCGGATGGTCTCCAAGTCTCTGGGGCCAGATGTGCAGGTTATCATCGGCCAAGGAGAGCAGAATTCCACGACCAGACAGCAGCCAAACCAGAACAAGCCCACAAAGCAGGAGCCCATGGTGGTCATCTATGCCCCACCCAGCAACCCCCAGCCCAGGGCACGGGGGGTCCAGGAGCACAGCGTCGCCCCCAATGCATCCGCCCCCCCCAAACAGGCTTTTGAGAACATCGTCATCGGTCATAGAAACCCACTTGTCTACCCGCCACTGGTGAACGTTCACAAGGAAAGAGGGCGCAGAGACCCCGAGGAGAGACGGTTCCCAACACAGCAGCTGCAGCCCCCCACGCTGGCTTACGCCAACTTCCACTATTCCAACGGACTCTCCAAGAGGCCGGGGCCCAGCGGCCAGAAAGGTGCTCAGACTGTTTCCAATGCAAATGTCAACAGCTCAGTGGAAAAGAAGAAACATCGCAGGCAGCCCAAACAGACGCAAGCAGAGGCGAGATACAAGAACTTGGAAATACTGTGGTAAGAACGCCCTGTTCTGGGCGGGAGTCATAGCACAACAGGGAGGGTGTTTGCTGTGCACACAGCTGACCCAGATTCTATCTCCAGCATTCTATAGGGTCCCCTGAGCACTGCCAGGGGTGATTCCTGAGTGCAGGGCCTTGAGTCACCTCTGAGCATCACTGAGTGTGAACCAAGAAGCAAAAACATAAAAAGAATTTCCTTCTCCTCAAGTAGTCTTTCCACAGCAGACTGTTCCCCCTTGTCCACTAGTGACCAATTTCCACCCCAGAAATATAACATCCAGGGCTGGAGCGATAGCACAGCAGGTAATGCATTTGCCTTGCATGCGGCTGACCCATGCTTGATTCCCAGCATCCCATATGGCCCCCCGAGCACCACCAGGAGTAATTCCTAAGTGCAGAGCCAGGAGTAACCCCTGTGCATCACTGGGTGTGACCCAAAAAGCAAATAAATAAATAAAGTGCAATTCCAGGAATGTTAAATAATAAACAATAATAGCACTGTAGGGGCTGGAGTAACAGCACAGTTGGTAGGGCGTTCGCTTTGCATGCAGCCCGACCCAGGTTCAATTCCTAACATCCCATATGGTCCCCCGAGCACCTCCAGGAGTAATTCATGAGTGCATAAACCAGGAATAACGCCTGTGCATCACTGGGTGTGACCCAAAAAGCAAAAAATAATAAATAAAATAAAATAATAGCAGTGTAGCACTGTCCTTCGGTACATCGAATTGCTCAAGCAGGCACCAGTAACATCTCCATTGTGAGACTTGTTGTTACTGTTTTTGGCATATGGAATACACCCCGGGGAACTTGCCAGGCTTTGCTATGTGGCCTGGATACTCTTGATAGCTTGCAGGGCTCTCTGAGAGGAAAAGAGGAATCAAACCTAGGTCGGCTACGTGCAAGACAAATGCCCTACCCACTGTGCTATCGCTCTATTAAAAAAAATTTTTTTTAAGACATACAATCTCAGAGAGCGCTGCCTGAAACACCTTAGATGTGTGACACATTTGTTTGAAGAAAATGTTCAGCGACTGGAGAGATGAGATAGCACAGCGGGTAGGGCATTTGCCTTACACACAGCCGACCTGGGTTAGATTCCTCCGCCCCTCTTGGAGAGCCCGACAAGCTACCAAGAGTATCTCGCCTGCACAGTAAAGCCTGGCAAGTGACATATTCAATATGCCAAAAACAGTAACAAGTCTCACAATGGAGACGTTATTGGTGCTTGCTTGAGCAAATCAATGAACAACAGGAGAGTGACAGTGACAGTTCAACCGTTGCCCTTTAGAACCTTTTTGTGGTTGCTGGACTTTCCGCAATGCCCACATTCGGTCACAGGATTGAGAGGACAAAGGAGCAATGTCTCTGCTAGAGAAAGAGACGAGAGAGGATGGGAAAGGGTTCATGAGACGGGCCCAAGGAATTTACCTCGCTACAGCCCAGACTCTGATTTCTACCAACAACTGTCCCCTCCTGCGGTGTTCATCCAGGTCCATTGCATGGAAGGCGAGCACCCTGCTGGCTGCATTGTCCTTCCACTTCCACTGGAACTCTTGATTTTTTTAATTCATTTTTTAAAATTGAATCATCATGAGATATTCAATTACAAAGTTGTTGGGTTTCAGTCATACAATAGTCAACCATCCGCCCCTTCACCAGGGCACATTTCCCACCACCAATATTCCATGTTCCCTCCAGCCTCCCTTCCCCCAGCCTTCTTCTATGGAAGGTAATTTTCTTTTCTCTCTCTCCACCCCCCCCTCTCTCTCTCTCCATCTCCCTCCCTCTCTCTCCCTCCCTCCTTCCTCTCTCTCTCTCTCTCTCTCTCTCTCTCACACACACACACACACACACACACACATACACATATTGAGCCTTATGGTTTGCAACTCAGGTACTGAAAGACATCGGACCACCCTTAACTCCCCAAACTCAGATCCTGACACCCAAAGCTTGCACACAGGCAGCCATCAGTTTATCTTATCCAAAAATCTGCGTTGGCTTTAGTTCCTTTTCTGGTTTTAGTATTTAAAGAGTCCTTGCCTCTCACTCATACAAATTAAATGGTGCGCTGAACTTAAAGGAATGTTTGTCTCATTTAATCCAACATTTCTAGGTTTTTGATAGTAGGAGAAGCTTTCATTTTTCAAACTGATATTTTCTACTTGAATTGCACTAAATGGAAGTTCTAACCTAGCTCCAACTGAGTATTGGGGGGACCGCAGGTGTCAAAGCAATAGTACAGCGGGTCGGGCACTTGCCTTGGAAGCAGTCAACTCCAGTTCAATACCCGCACCACATATGGTCCAGCAGGAGTGATCCCTGAGCACAAAGCCAGGATTAAACCTTGACCACCACCAGGTATGGCCCCAAACCAAATCAAAGTAAAGTAAAGTAAAGTAAAGGCCCTCCTGTTGATCATAGATTTGCTCGAGCGGGCCCAGTAACGTCTCCATTGGAGACTTTATTGTTACTGTGTCTGGCATATCGAATACTCTCGGTAGCTTGCCGGGCTAACAACAAAATATATGAGAAAGAGGAACACAGTACTGAGGGTGCAACCCAAGGTCTCACACATGCAAGGCAACTGCTCTACCACTAACCCACACCCCAAGTCCTAAAGGACTCTTTCAGAATAAGAACTCAACATATTTCTGGGGCTGGAGAGATAGTACAACAGGTAGGGCAATTGCCTTGCACATAGCTGACTCAGGTTCAATCTCTATCATCCCCAAGCACTGCCAGGAGTGATTCCTGAGTGCAGAGACAGGAGTAACCCTTGAACACCACTGCGTATGGCCCAAAAACAAAACCAAAAAATGAATCAACCGGGCTGGAACAACGGGTAGGGCATTTGCCTTGCACATGGCTGACCCAGATTCAATTCCCAGCATCCCATATGGTCCCCCAAGCACTTCCAGGAATAATTCCTGAGTGCATGAGCCAGGAGTAACCTTGTGCATCGCCAGGAGTGACCCAAAAAGCCCCCCCCCAAAAAAAAATCAATCAACCAATATATGTCTGAGATTTAGCCACTGTTCATTCATTTGGTCCGAGCAGTGGTGAAGACATGTAATCACTGCCTGGTCGAGAGCGCCACACCCCTCTGTGAACCCATCTGTGCCCTCTCTACCCTGCTCAGGAAGTTCCACCCTGCCTCCGAGAGCCAGCCACCAGCACGCGCCTCCCCGGACTCCAGGCTGGCCGAGATCATGGAGCAGCACCAGCAGGCCCTGATGCAGCTGGCCGAGGTGCAGCCGAGCGAGGGCACCCCGCATGACCACGACCACCACGTTGCCCTCCCGCACATCCTGACCCGGGTGGACAGTGAGTCCCAGCTCCCTTCCGGGAGGCACTACAAGAAGCCCGCGCCAATGGGCCGGAGCAATTCGGAGAGCTACCTGTTCCAGCTAGAAAGGGGCCAACGGCAGAGGAAGAGACACAGCGTGCAGGTAAACACAGCCCCCACGGCTCCACAACCCCCAAGGCCTGGGCTCTCGCTGCCCTTGCCCAGGGTGCCGGGCCAGGAGTGCCCGCTGCTCAGGCTGCTTCGGCTGGTAAAGCCGTTGAAGGCTGAGGGAGGCTGGCATTTAGCCCTCTGCTTCCCAAACATTTCTCCCCTACCTCCACCGAACGTTTCCATCTCCACTTCCTTTCAGCTTCACCTCCAAGAAGGGGTGCAGAGGGGACAGGCTAGACCCTTCTCTGAACTCTAGACTCAACAACACCCTCCCGAAGACTCCCCCAAGTCCCTCTTGCCACCCCGCCTCCCCCAGTCCAGGCTGAGCCCCGAGGTATGTTCTCATCCAGGAGAAGAAAGCGAATGAGCAGAAGTGTCTGTGGTCGCCCCCATCCCCCACCCCCTGCTCCCCATGGTGCCACTCCCAAGTTCCTCTCCAAGAACCCCAGCGGCCAGAGCTGGGGCTGCTTGGGAACTGCCAGCTCAGACCTGCTCAGTGCCAGGTCTGCCGTGAGCGTCTCCATCACTAGCGCCTTGCGCCTTAAAAGCCTTTCCACTGGGTTTAACTGATGGTTAGACCAGGGAAACGGGGGAGGGGTGGAGGGAGAGGGACGCACGGTGGAGAGGAATGGGGAGCACCAAGGGAGCTAGGTGTGCCGCCCTTGTGTTTTCGTACTGTGACACTCCCTACGGGAGACGATTCTTGCTTCTTTCCTCCTTCTGGAGGAAGGAAGAAGCAGGAAAAGTGCATCCTGGAATTCCAGGCCAGAGAGGAGGCTTGGCAGGAAGCAGTGTTTTGGGATGGGGAGCTGGGAGCTGGGAGCAGCAGGTCCGGATGCTGGGTTGGGAGGGAGGCTCAGAGGTTAGTGTGGCCCCTAATGGCCAGGGGCCAAGGCTGTGGTTCCCGCACATGGATCCATGCGTCTGTAGAAGGACAGGGCACCTCCCTCTGCCCAAGCGTCATCTCAGGTTGGGGTATGACCCTGAGGCCCCCCGCAGAGGCACCCTCAGGGGTTGGGCTGAGGGCTGGGCTCCCAGGGGCACCCTCTAGAGGCCATGTCGGGGAAGCCTCCTTAGTGGATCTGTTGACTGTCTGCCCCAGAGGTCAGAGTTGGGCTGGTCAGGACCATGACCCTATCCTCCCCCTCCTTCCCCCCTGCTCAGGGGCTTCCGGTTGCATGGAACTGAGGCATGCCAATGACTTCAGAACACTGCCATGAGCAAAGCAGAGCAAAGCAAAGTTGGGACTGTAGGAGGCTCACTCAGCCCATCCTGGGGGCTAGCAGAGCCAGGGATGCTCCCAGTTGTCGGCCCTACTGGCCGCATGGAGGGAGCAGGAGGTGGTGGGGAGGGGGGTCTTTGAGGAACTTTTGCTATGCTTAGGATTATATTGAAGGAGGGTTGCTCTGGCTATGGGTATGAGGCATGGGCCCCCCTCGGAGACGAACTGTGAGCATCCCCAGGTTGTGTAAGTGGGGAAGAGGAAGAAAGCCAGCTGCCGCTGCCAGCCCAGAACACCCCTGCCTTCCTGCACCATCGGGAATGTTCCAGTCCCCAAAAATCCACCTTCCGGGTCCCACCACACCTTCTGCCCCATGTGACAAGAACCCAGATGCACAATTTGTCCATGTTTCATTTTTCACTCTTCGGTCACACCCGGTGATGCTCCAGGGTTTATCCTGGCTCTGTACTCAGGAATTATTCCTGGTGATGCTCAAGGGACCACGTGGGATGCCAGGGATTGAACCCAGGTCGGGCACGTGCAAGGCAAACGCCCTACCCACTGTACTCTTGCTCCAGCCCCAAGCACTCTTTGTCCCTTGAAGCTCTCCCAGAGGCTGAAGTGATTTAGAAGTGAGCTATTTATTGGGACAGGCCAGCAGGCAGCCATGGCACCAGACAGAAGGAATCATTATCCAGGCCATGCCCCTGTGCTAGTCGCAACAAATCTAGGGGTTTCCAAGGGAATCGCGCTGCCTTGCATTAAAAATGTGAGGATTTGTCAGGGCTCCAGCCTGAGCACGCTTCCTCTGCCTCCAGCAGCTCTGCGGTGACTCATGTATGAATACTGAGCACGGCCCAAGCCCTTCAGTGCAGGCGTCAGGCAGTAAGAGATTCACAGGGAGCCCGGGACGACACGCGGGCTGAGAATATCGGTTGCGGCCTGTCAGCAAGCCAGCGCACGGCGCCACTCAAGCCTAAGTCTGTTGTCACAGTCTGGCCTGGCTGCGTGGCTAAAGAGGTTGAGGTGGATTAAATTTAGAGACTGCAACATGCACTTCCTTCTCTTGCTGGGCCCCAGCATTTGAGACTTTGCTGTTTTGGGAGCCACTTTCTCACACTTCCACAACTGAGGAATTTTCTGGAGACACTGTAGCACTGTCGAGCGGGCACCAGAAAAGTCTCCATTGTGAGACTTGTTGTTACTGTGTTTGGCATATCAAATACGCCATGGGGAGCTTGCCAGGCTCTGCTGTGAGGGCAGCATACTCCGAGAGGGACGGAAGAATCGAACCTGGGTCGGCCATGTGCAAGGCAAACCCCCTACCCGCTGTGCTGTACAAGCCCCCATCATTTGCAATGCAGACACGTGTGGTTCTGAGTGGGCAGCAAATGTCTGGCTTGAGGAGGCGGGTGACCGGTTGCTTCGGCTGGGGAGATCTGCACCTCTGGGGGCTAAACTGATGGGGGCAGCCTGGTGCTGGGGTGTGGGGCTACCCTGGGGATACGGGCAGGCAGTGACCCCAAGAGGTCAGAGTGGAGTTGAGAATATGCCTGAGTTTGATCCATGTGTGTAGACCTCATGGCACGCTCTTGTTGGGTTTGGGGGTCTGAGGGGCTGGTTTGTTTTCATAGCATGTGACCATTAGTCAAGGAGAAATAAAGCAAAGTAAATTCTGGGGATTATTTCACTACCAATAAATCCTTTTGAAGAGACAGAAAGTAGATTAACGGTTGCCATGGGCTGGATGGGGGCATGGGGGGGAAGGGGTTGACTGCTCAAGGGGACACAAGGGGAAAGCTTCCTTTTAGGGCCAGGGAAATGTTGTGAAATTGGATTGTGGGCATGTTTACACCAGCCGATGACTAATAGCTGCAAGATGGTAGGACTTCAGATGGGCGCGTTAGTGGGGGGCATGTGAATTTCATCTCAGTAGAGCTGTTTAAGAGAGACTTGGTGGAAAGAGATCAAAGAAATGTGCAGCAATGGGGTGCTGAGATTACTTGAGCCAAACCTCAGTAAATCCTGGATTTGTCCGTGCCAGTCACCCAGAACAAACCTGCCCTCGGGATGTCGCTGCCAGCAGCAGCTCATCCTGCAAAGGGTCAGTACGCTGGGCATATGCCCCTTTGGGCCACACTCTTCCTGGCTGGTCAGTCTGCAGAGCTAGTCCCTGGGCCCTTTTCTCTGTGTCAGCAGGACCTGGGAAGAGGTGATGGAGGCGGCCTTGAGCACTCACACGAGCACTGACGCAGAGCATCTTTCTCTGTGAGTGAGTCAGTGGAAATGATTTAAAGTTAAGCGGCTTCAGGAGAAGGATGTGATTGCTGGGACTGATCATTTCTCTCTCATTTATTGTGGATAAATTGGATTTATGACTTGGATATGAGTGAGGTTCTCGTGTTCCTGTTCATTAGTGGTTTCCTTTGGCAGATAGACCATCACTTAAGAATTGCAAAACAATAATACAGATGATGCTGGAGGTACAAGCAGGCTGCAAATGGAAAAAGGCCTCCAAGTACCTCTGCCTCTTACAAATTAGTGCTGTGTTTTCAGATGTGATAACACCCAGTGCCATCAAGGTTTGAACCCAGAAAGGCACTCTTGTGTATTGCTAATGAAGTGTTTATTAACATGTTTATGAATTTGTCTCAAACTTCCCAGCCTCTTTTATTATCTCAAAGAAATCATCAGGATGACCCACAAACAGTTCTTAGCTCTAGGACATCTTTTTTTTTTTTAGTGAAACACCATGAGGTACAGTTGTAGACTTACAAGTTTCTGTGCTTGAGTTTCAGTTATACAATGACCGAGTACCCATGCCTCCACCAGTGCCCATTCTCCACCACCAATGATCCCAGTATCCCTCCCACCCCCCATTCCCCCCCATCTCACCACGCCTCTGTGGCAGAACATTCCCTTTTGTTCTCTCTCTCCTTTTGGGTGCTGTGGTTTGCAAAAGAGGCATTGAGTGGCAATCATATTCCGTCTATAGTCTACTTTCAGCATGCATCTCCCATCCTGGGAGGATCCTCCCAACACCCATCATTTGGTGCTCCCTTCTCTATCTGAGCTGCCTCTTCCCCTAGTGTGTGAGGGTGACCTCCAAGCCATGCAGTGAACCTCCTGGTACTTATCTCGACTATTCTTGAACGTTAGTCTAGCTCTAGGACATCTTATTTTTGGTTTGGGGTTTCTGGTGTGTGTGTGTGTGTGTGTGTGTGTGTGTGCGCACATCTGTGGTTCCAGGAATCAAACCCTGGGCCTCACACATGCCAGGAAAATTCTCTAATGTGAGTTAGATCCTTGACCCCATGATATTTTAAATGTTCCAAATTTAGAGCAGGAACTAAGTAATTTGACTATAACGAGGCAACAGACTACTAAGCATAAAAAAACATTCTCAAATGACCATTAGTAACAGAAATACAGTATAATGCTAAATGTCTTAGTGAAAAAGAAATAGCTTGTAGCATGTGGACACCTTTGTAAAAGTCTGAATCGAGACAGAAGGGGCAGGAAGTGGCTGTAGTGACTGCCTTGTGGTGACTATTTTCTTAAATATTTTGAGTGGCATGGGGGAATAGTACAGTGGGTAAGGCACTTGTCTTGAACACACCGGACCCAGGTTTGATCCCCGGCATCCCATATGATCCCCCAAGCACCGCCAGGAGTAATTTCTGATTGCAAAGCCAGGAGTAATCCCTGAGCATCACTGGGCATGGCCCCAAAACAAAAATAAAATGATTTCTGAATTTGAAATGCCCTTCAATGAGCAGTGTCTCTCTAAATTACGCTTTAATGTAATTCTTTTTTAATGGCTTTAGATTCAAGGCTGAAAACTCTTCTCTCCCCTTTCAGGGATGCCCAGATCAGCCTTGGTCCCAGGGCAGAGGGTGGAGAAGGAAAGTGAGAGAAGAGGGGAGGAGGAGAAGCGACAGACAAGAAGCAACGGGGCCCAGTCAGGGAAGGCAGGTATAAAGGTAGTGCTAAGGATGACCGAGCCAAATACCCAAACCACAGGGTCCCAAGCACTGAAATCAGGGGACCCCAAACTTTAATAACAGAACTTAGAAAGGTTCCTGTCAAGAGGGCAGGCTTGGGGGCATATGGGGGGAGGGGTTAAATCTGGGGACCCTGTTGGAGGGAGGTTGACACTAGGTGTGGGATTGGTGCTACAACTGTGTATGTCTAAAACTCAAGTATGAATAATTTTGTAAATCATAGTGCTTTAATAAATAAATGAAAGAGTCCTCTTCCCTCGAGTATTAAATGCACTGCTTTGACTATGATAGGCAAATTCTTCTGACATCACTTTCCGATCCTTGTTTCCTAGAGGATGCCTGTTCGGGCCCTTAGACAGACTGGGATGGTAGAATTAGGGCCTCCAGCTCTAAGTTCTACCCAGAACGACTCTTTACATCATTTGTTTTTAAATGAGGGCCCTGGGGCTGGAGCAATAGCACAGCGGGTAGGGTGTTTGCCTTGCACGTGGCCGACCCGGGTTCGATTCCCAGCATCCCATATGGTCCCCTGAGCACCGCCAGGAGTGATTCCTGAGTGAAAAGCCAGGAGTAACCCCTGAGCATCGCCGAGTGTGGCCCAAAAAGCAAAATAAATAAATAAATAAATAATGGCCCCCTCTTTTTATAATTAATGTACCAGGAGGCAGTTGCTAAGCACTGATGGTACCAGGGCTCAAAAGAGCAGAACCAGGATCTGGTTGATTCTCTTGTTCCCTTTATCTTGCCTGACTACAAAATTGCTGCTGGGGCTCCAGCTTGAGGAATGACATCTACATTTAAGACAAGAGAATGGAAAGGGGAGGGGCTTCCCCCACCCAAGTAAAAAGTTTCCCCTACCCTCTCCCCATGCAGGGAAATTCACCATCAACTGTCATTTACAGCCTCCAGAAGATGGGGGAGTGTGTGTGGGGGGGTGTGAATATTATTGAGACTCAGTAGTAGAGTAAACACATGTTTCACATGAGGCCCTGAGTTCATTCCCTCCACCACCTGCCCCACCGCATCTCTCTACCCCCAGCACCACCAGGAACAATCCCCATGACAATAAAGACATACTAACAGACCATTGACTCCCTTGAAAATAATTTTTATTTGGGGGCCATGCCCAGCACAGCGGGTAGGGCATTTGCCTTGCACGCAACCAACATGGCCAACCTGAGTTCAATTCCTCCACCCCTCTAGGAGAGCCTGGCAAGCTACGGAGAGTATCTTGCCCGCATGGCAAAGCCTGGAAAGCTACCTGTGGCGTATTCTATATGCCAAACACAGTAACAAGTCTCACAATGTTACTGGGCCCACTCAAGCAAATCGATGAACAACGGGAGGACAGTTAACAGTGACCCAGCAGTGTCAGAACTTATTCCTAATTCTGAGCACAGGGGTCACTCCTGGCATGGTTCAAGGGACCATATGGGGTACCAGGGCTCAAACCTGTGTCGGCCTACACAAGGCAAGGGCAAAACCCTCTGTACTATCTCTCTGACACCTTGCTTGAAACATCTTTAGAATTTTTAGGTCTTCTGCGTTTTTAACTACGGGGGGAAAAAAAGTCAAAATGTGTTAGCTACAGAGTACCCAAGAAACAATGACCAAGGGAAGAAGTGGTGGGGAATACACCCACTCTCTCTCTCAATCCGCTCCAACTTCATCCCTCTCCCCTACTTTTTCCCCACGTGGCAGTGGGGACAGGCAGTCCTTAATAGAAAACCATCTCTGTGGTTGTATTTTTAGAGTTCCAAGCTGAAAGATTATGAAATAAAAGACGTGAAGCTTGGGGGCCTCGGACCCGACTTTCAGACCATAAGAGACAAAGTGAGTGTTTGTCGGAGCGCCCGCCCGTGGGGCTCAGCCTCTGTCTCTTGGGAAAACTGTCCCCACCAGCACAGGCCTCGGCCACTGTCTCAGTCCAAGCAGAGTGGAAAACCTTGGGGAACATCACACAGACACCCCATGACCGCAAAACCAGACTCTGCCCAGTGTTCCTTCATTCATCTCCCTCTCAGGGGGGTTGCTTTGGCCCGGGCGCTGGGAAAGAGGTGTGTGTGTGTCGTGTGTCCTGTGGTTGTCGGTCTTTCCTGACCAAGTCCAGGCAGTCATTTTGAACAGTGACTCCCAAAAAGACACTTAGGCTAAGAGTTCCCCAGCCCGTGAAAAGTGCATCCACTTTAGTCTCTTTCCTCTCGTGAAAGAAGATCTTCAGTGAGTGTGTTTTAACTGCAGTTGTACTCCAGGCCTAAGAAGAGAGCTCGGTTCAAAGTTGGAAGCAAATTGGGTAAATGCAACAAAGAGGGGGTCTAATGTGATTTAGGCCCTATTTAAGGGGGCCATTGGCTGAACTGGGAATGGGGAGAGAGAGAGAGAGAGAGAGAGAGAGGAGAGAGAACACTTTTTTTTTCTTTTTGGGTCACACCCGGCAATGCACAGGGGTTACTCCTGGCTCTGCACTCAGGAATTACTCCTGGCAGTTCTCAGGGGACCATATGGGATGCTGGGGATTGAACTTGGGTCAGCCGTGCAAGGCAAATGCCCTTCCCACTGTACTATATCATTCCAGCCCTGGGACCACTTCTTAACCACCTCACTGCTGGCACCTGAGAGAGAGGAGAGAGAAATGGGAGAGAAAGGAGAGAGGGGATAGAGGGGGGAGAGAGAGAGAAGAGAGAGAATGGAGAGAGGAGAGAGAGAGTGAAGAGAGAGGAGAGAGGAGAGTGAGGAGAGAGATGAGAGAGAGGAGAGAGAGTGGAGGGGGGGAAGCAGGTCTTAACCACCTCCCTGCTGTTGCCTTGCACCTGGGTCCGTTCGGGAGCAGGGGATGTGGGTGAGGCCCAGAGTCACTCTGTATGTCTGACTCTCTCCCCAGATGCAGAAGTTAGCTCAGCAAAAGGAATACTCCAAACAAGTCAAAGAATACAACATGAGGGCTCTCTCCCTCCTGTCCAAACCCCCAACTGCGAAGACAGAGAGCAGGCCTCTCATCCCTCGGCAGAAGGTAAGAGACAGCGGCTCAACAGCACTTCCTATCACCTCCCAGTTTAGGCAGCTTCCCCGTACCCATCCACTCACCCGTGCCCTGCAGGCCTTAACTCATTCGTGGACATGGGCAGGCCACCCTGGCCTTATGACCCTCCTCCAGTCTCCTCCAAGGGCAGAGCGGTGCAGTGTTCCCACTCAGGGACAACGTGACACAAACTCCCTAGAATAAACACTCACCAGGGCCAGAGGCATAGAATAGCAGGAAGGGCATTTGCCTAGCACAAGGCTGAGCTGGGTTTGATCCCCGGTATCCCATGATTCCATGAGTACCGCCAGGAGTGATTCCTGAGTGCAGAGCCAGGAGTAACCCCTGAGCATCACCAGGTGTGACCGCCCCACCCCCATCGCCCCAAAAATAAGAAAAAAAGAAAAAAGTAGCTATCCAGGTAAACTATAACTTTCCCAGTCTACTGGTTAGTATCTGAGGAAACTCAATATCTCATCTTGTGTTCTGTGTAAGCCCTCATGACTCCCCTCAAGTGTGTCCCCAACCTTTTCTCTGAAGTAACTGTCAGAGAGATTCCTTCTGCCCCAGAGAGAGCAGTGCTTTTTATCAAATACAGAATGTTCTCCCTCTCAGATGCCATCCATCTCCCGGCAGGGATGTGAGACATGGGGCAGGGTAGTCTCAGCCTCGATCCCACTAAGGACCAGGACCCTCTGTGCAAGGGACAAGTGGCCCTTGGTGCTCTGAGGAATGTGTACTTCGTGTTCTCCTCCACAGGCCCTCACGGCCTCTATTGATTGCCTCTCCTCCTCAGACCTTGAAGATCTCAGTCCGCTTGATTGCGTTTCTATGATGCCCTTCTTCCTTCTGTCTCTGGCCCATTATTTTTCTCTGAAGAGATTCGAGACAAGTTGCTAATAAGAAATTCCTTCATAAGTCACCTTCGCGTAGACATCTGAGTTGTCCTGTTTTGATTTTTTTTTCTCCCCTCTTAGTTCTAAATGTACTATCCATTCCCATTTCAGATATCAAATTCTTGTTAAAAGAGAAAATTGATATAGAGGCAGATTTTTCAAACTGTACTTCGTGGTCTTATCTTTATTGCAATGCCCCTCAGAACTGATATCTCTGAGGAACAACTCAGTGCCCAGATAAAACGATTATGTTGGTCTCTGATAAACACTTCCGGGATTTCTAAGCGCCTAGGAACAAGAGGAGATGGTGTAATAACAGATGCTCAATTTTGTAGCAACTATAGCAATGTCTTTGGTCTCAAGCTGTGAACGTTCTTTTTGAGTGAAAAGGCCTATTAATAGCTCCTAAATATAAGTTTGGTTTTTAATGCCCAAAAGTAGAGAGAGAGTGTGGGGGAAATTGTCAGCCATGGAGGCAGGGGGAGGGCTGGAAAGGGGGGTATACTGGGGACATTGGTGTCAGAGAATGTATGTGCACTGATAGAGAGATGGGTGTTTGATCATTATATGACTGAAACTCAAACATGAACTTTGTAACTTTATCTCACACTGATTCAATTAAATATATGTGTGTGTGTGTGTGTGTGTGTGTGTGTGTGTGTGTGTTTGGTTTTAATAAGACTTTGAGATGCTAAATAGATCAAACACCCGAGAACTCTATTTTCAAGCACTTGAATAAAATCAAGCTGTGGTTGTTTGAAGGAAAATATCCAAAAGCACATTTGTGTGCATCAAAATTCAACTTGCTTTTTCTCCCTGGCATATTACTAGGCAGCTAATTCATTTTATACAAATTGTATGTTGGGCCAGAGAGATCGTACACGGATAAAGTGCTCGCCTTGCTTCTGGCTGACCTGGTTTAATCCCGGTTCCACCAATGGTCCCCTGAAACCCACTAAGGATTAGAGAACTCCTGGGCATGGCCAGAAAGAGCTCATGAGCTACACGAGGTGTGACCAGAAACAGAGAATTGTATATCGTGGGTTTTGTTTAAATTTATTTATTTATATTTACTGCTTTTTGGGTCACACCTGGCAATGCACAGGGGTTACTCCTGGCTCTGTACTCAGGAATTACTCCTGCCAGTGCTCAGGGGACCCTATGGGATGCTGGTAATCTAATCTGGGTCGGTCACATACAAGGCAAACACCCTAAAACACCCTACCCGCTGTGGTATCACTCCAGCCCCATGTGAGTTTTGTTTAGAAGATGTACTATTTGCCTGTGTCCATTTGGTCTTCATTTCCATCTGAACCTGAGTACAGTATCGTAGCAATAGTCTCCATTGGCGTTCTGAGTCTGGATAACTTAGGGCCAGGTTTAACTGAGAGAACCAAGTCACCCTTTCCTGTAAAACTTTCTCTTTAAATGCCTCTAGGCTTTGGAGTACGCTAAAACCATCCCCAAACCTAAGTCATCCTCAGTGAATGATCCTGCATCAAAAGAAAAGAAAAATTCAACCTATGCTGGAAAAGAGACTTTACCGGAAATTTCGCTGCTCGAAGTACTACAGAGCAGACATGAACGGGAAAAACAGGCCGTGGCTGCTTTCAAGGTCCTCCACATCGTCTAGACAACAAACGAGTAGACGTGCTAAGTGTGTGGAAAGGAGAGAAACGCCAACGCTTCTGCTGAGATGGCGAGAATCCATGTATCACCCCACTGCCAGCCATGTTTGCTTTACCCAGGATTCAAATTATGGGCCCTAGTCTATCATGATGTCATGTTTTAGCTTCTAGGAGGGGAAAAAATTGTTTTATTTATTTTCAGAGCAGTTTGAATTCAGGCTGAATCAGTAGGGAATAAAGCCTTTCAGTTTTATATTGGATCTTGCGATTTCTTAAACTATGTCCAGCCTTCCCTATGCAAAATAAGAGCCTCGAAGTCACCAGAAATAAGCAGATCTGCTGTATCTCCCTCTCACCTTCCTCACGGGGGGGGGGAGCATAAACACTTCAGTTTCTGTTGAACTCAAATTCAACTAACAGTAAATGTTAAGATACAATTTTTAACTATTTCTAAACTTAGCAAGGGGGTTATATATAAAATCGAAGAACAAACGAAAGTACAGCAAAAGGTGTCTATGCGGACCAATGATGCCACAAAGTGTTCTAATCACAAAGCAACAAGAACCAGGATCAGGGGCTGGAGCGATAGCACAGCAGGTAGCGTGTTTGCCTTGCACACAGCCGACCTGGGTTTGATTTCCAGCATTCCATTTGGTCCCCCAAAGCAAAAAAAAAAAAAAATAGGATCAGAAATCTTCACCTCCACGGGGCCAGAGTAATAGTGAGGTGGGCACTTCCCTTGTACACTGCTGACCCAGATTACATCCTGGGCACCGCATATGGTCCCCCAAGCCCCAACAGGAGTGATCTCTGAGTCAGGCCAAGAGAGAGTACCCTGAGCATTGCCACGTTTGGCCCCCAAACTAAAAACAAACAAAAGAAAAATCCTTATGTCCAGTTCTCCAAGTTACTTTCTTCACAAGTTTATAAATTTGCAAGGTATCTGGCTACAAGTGTATTATCATCAAATATGTGCTCACGCATTAAAAAATAAGATTAAAGCAGTCCTTGGTTTTACTACTGATTTTTAAAAAAATCTCTTGAAACTGAACACTGTAAAATTCCAGAGACTGTAAAACTCCAAAATAATACCTGAAAGAAGTACATTTTAGCTGGGTTTAATTTGCTATTACATTCTGAAATTGACAGTTTTAATAATTTAAGGCAAATCTGGTTTTCTATGCAAGTGGCCAGAGGACCAGCTTTGGGGATTTCTGCCTGTGTTCTATACATTTTACACATACCACGATGCTTCCCTTAACTTTCTTCTAAGATTGGTAACAATTAGAAATGAAATTCTAGAAAAGCAGTGTCTGTAGGTAAACGATACTAGGGTCCTATAAAAAAAACTAGGGTCCTGTTTCAGTGGTATTTGGAAGATGCTGTCAGACACGAGGAATTAGTTGAGGATTGCCCCAGTCCCAGCATTAGGGGTGCCCCTAAATATTTCTGTAAATAAAGGGTACCCTTTGGGGAACAATCAAGACTTTACTAGAAACATGAAATCAAAGAACCATTTTTTCCTAAAGTACCTGACAATGCTCAAGGTACTTTCTCTTGGCCTGACTCTGGAATATAAAAAAAAAAAAAAGAAAATGCCTACACAAACCTTTTCCTATTCTTATTTATTTATTTATTGCTTTTTGGGTCACCCCCAGAAATGCTCAGGGGTTCGTCCTGGCTCTGCACTCAGGAATCACTCCTGGCAGTGCTCAGGGGACCATATGGGATGCAGGGATCGAACCCCATGCAAGGCAAACACCCTCCCCGTTGGACTATCACTCTGGTCCCTTTTCCTATTTTAACGGGGTAGCCGATTTAAATATTCCTTTTCAATTCGTGCATCTTAAAAGAATGTAGGACTCAGAACACCTTTATCTTGTTTCATGGTCCATTTTTCAGAAGAGGAAATGAAGTCCAGAAAGGATGAGTTGATAGACAGAATGATGGTACAAAGGGCACTTGCCTTGCACATGGCCAACCAGAGTTCAATCCCCAGCATCCCATAGGGTTCCCCAAGCACCACCAGGAGTAATTCCTGAGTGCAGAGCCAGGAGTAAACCCTGAGTATGACTGGGTGTGACCCAAAAGGAAAAACAGAAAAAAAGAATGGCTGAGTGACAGGTCTCAGTCCTACAACTGGTGACCCCTGGTTCAAACTTAGGATGTCTCAGAACCCAGAGCAGCAACTTGTTGGTGATTCCTGAGGAGTTCCTGCTTTCCTATGTGAGCAAGGAACCTGTAGTTCTCAGAGATTTCTATCAAGTTCAATTTTTAGAAGTATTCATTACCTTATCGTAGTTTAAACATCTACAATCTGGTGATTCTGTTACTGTGTCAATAAAGCTGTGGGAGACATTTGCAAAGCAATTTCCATGATACCTATAAAAATAATCTCCACTTTTTGGAGGTAATTTAAAATCTGTCCATTGCTATTAGCCGAAGCACTATGACATCCATGTCAGCGCACTTTTCTCACACTAACCCAAACCCACCCTTCGCTTTATAGAGCAGATTGAATGATCTTGCTGATGTCGGACATTTCACAGGATCCAAGGCAAGCCTTTACCACAAAGCACAGAAGACTCTAAACAATTTGTCTGCAAATCCTAACAATTTGTCTGCAAATATTGAAAGGGATTATGGTATCTTAAATGACTTTTAGCAAAAGAAATAGAACATATTTATGGGCCAGAGCTATAGTACAACAGAGAGGGTATTTGCCTTACACGTGGCTGACCCCAGCATCCCATATGTTATATTATGAGTACTACCAGGAGTAATTCCTGAGTACAGTGCCAGAAGTATCCCCTAAGCAAGGCTGGGTGTGGCCCAAAAAGAAGGGAGGAAAAAAAGAAATAAAACATATTTGCTTAAAACTTGGGGCTGGACTCATTGGTTCAAGCTAGACTTTTCTCTCACTGAGTCATTTCACAATGGTGAGAAACAGCAGAAATCCCTTCATCTAATATGACACCAAAACAAGCCTGAAATTCTGCACACGCAGTGAATGACACGTAGCCATGCTGGCGAGCACTAGTGACAGTACAGATATTTTACAGACCCAAGTGGACTGGTGATTAATTTGTATAGCATTTCTGTTTAAGATATTTAAAAAACAATCTGAAAGCAACACATTTCAAAGCAGAGTGGTAGAAGGATGGGTCATCTGCATGGGACCAAATGTTATAGTTAATGCTGACATACTTAAGTGCCTGGTCTGCCTGATCTCTGGGAATGGGATGAATAAAGGACTTTAAAACCACAGACTCTCTCTTATGGCAGTTTCCTTTATGTGCTGTTTTTCTACCTAGAGTTCCAGCAATAGCATCCTTGGACAATGAGCTGAATTTAATGGCAGCTGTCTTCATGATTGTTTTGAATTGTAAGGGGTCTCTTAGGAGTTATCTAGAAACCAACTCAAGAAAGGACAATGTTGAGGAACAATATAAACAGTAAGCCTAGAAAAGCACCAATGCCTAATGGTTCCAATTGGGGCCTTATTATTGGCTAATGAATCATTGTCAAAACATCACAGCAAGCATGAACGTGCACAATCTCATCTATAGTGAGAAAATGACTCTTCATCCCAACAGTTATTAGCTGGGAGTTGTTTGAAAACACATCCAGTAATTATAACAACACTGAAGCTAATTGAGAACTTTGAGTTGATAGCAAATGGTCTACAATAGCAGACTAGGGAAACTCAGGGGAGATTCTTTTTTAATTACTTATTGAAAACCAGCAGAAAATGAATTTAATTTGGGTGATAGACTGCAGATATCAGGGCAAGTTTAGCTAATTCTCTCCAAGATGTGTTTCAAAATATATATTACCATTCAATTAGAAGCAACATTTGAAAAATAAGACATTTTTAAGGTGGGCGAAATAAACATTGCTCTTTAAAACCCTATTTTCTTCCAAATTACCTTTTCCTGTCAGAATAAGGCTAAATCTTGAACAGTATATATTTTAATCCAGTTCTTCATTCTTCCTAGGATGACTATAGGGCCTCTTCTTTTTAATGCTTAGTAGATTTTTATCTTTATTCCTAATGCCTACTTTAAAAAGGAGAAACAACAACAAAAATGAATAGTCTGCATACCTCCTTAGTCTCCCTAGTGAGGAAAGTATTTAAAACAGTGGTAAAGAGGGCCAGAACGATTGTACAGTGGGTAGGGCATTTGACTTCCATTCGGCTGACCTGGGTTTGGTCCCTGGCATCCCATATGGTCTCCCCAACACCACCAGGAGTAATTCCTGAATGCAGAGCCAGGAGTAACCCCTGAGCATTGCTGGGTGTGACCCAAAAAGCAAAAACATAAAAAAATAAAACAGTGGCACAAAATTTTAAAAAATTAAATAATTATAGATTTTACTTCTCTATAGTGTCTCACTCCCCCTAGATCCCTGGCTTACAGGGAATTGTTTCTTATCATATGAAAATTGTGCATTATCACAGCAAAATTAAGAGGCATTTGTATTCTAATAAAAATTGTACTTCCTACACTTTGGGGCATATACTGAATTTGGATCTCAGAGAGCTAAAACTCTGAAATCTCCTTCTCACGTACTGCTTCCAAACCAAGGAGAGTTATTTGTTTTGCTTTCTCTCAACCTCTTTTAAAAGCAAAACCAGGGGCTGGAGCAATAGCTCAGTGGGTAGGGTATTTCCCTTGCATGTGGCTGACCCGGGTTCAATTCCCAGCATCCCATATGGTCCCCTGAGCACCGTCAGGGGTAATTTCTGAGTGCAGAGCCAGGAGTAACCCCTCTGCATCATCAGGTGTGACCCAAAAATCAAAAAATAAAATAAAATAAAAACCCACAATGATGGTGGTATTGATGTTGGAACATTAAATGTGACAAATCACAAACAACATTTTAAAAAATGAATAAAACATGCAAATTAAAAAATAAAGTTTGACAACCAAAAAATAAAAATAAAAGCAAAACCACAAAGCTATTGAGAAGCTATGAAGCATCTGAATTCCCTAAGTAAATATCTGGTCAATAGATTGAAAA